AAGGGAAAAGGTAAAAAAAAAAAAAAAAAAAAAAAACAAAAAAAAAAAACAGTTAGGTTAAAACTAGCCCTGCACCCCCACCATCTGGTTGCCATTCTCCATGGCGGGGCACATTGAGGAACCTGGCCTTGGGGCAGCAGAGAGAGTAAATCCGGCCCTACACACGTTAAAATAAACATTTTAGGACTGAAGATTACTTGAAACCCCAAAGTATATATATTCTGAAACCAGAGACCCTGAAGAGAAAAATGGTGGCAGTTGCATTTTTTTTTTTTACATCACACTATATCACTTAACTGTTTATCAAACCCAAATTTTCAGTAAAAAATGTATTCAAATAAATTTTAATGCACAAAAACGCAATCAAATACCAGAGAAAACTTGTGACATTTTCAGTATGTATGGCTAGGCTAATCTCCTTTCCTAAGGGATATCCCATGGATCCCTGAAGTAAACCAAAAGAATATGTGAAGAGTGAGAGCCTAAAAGGGGTATTCCATAGGACTCGGAAGGAACCCAAAAGAATGTGTGACAACTGAGAGCCTAAGAGGTATTATGGGCTAATGGATCCCCAAACGAATCCAAAAGAACTTGTGAAAAGTGAGAGTCTTTGGGATAACCAATGGGTCCTTGAAATAATCCAAAGAGCATGTGATGTGCGAGAGCCTAAAGGGTATCCCATGCTTCTGAAGTAATCCAAAGAACGTATGAAGACTGAGAACCTAAGGGATATCCCATGGTGCTGAAGCAATCCAAAGAACGTATGATGAATGAGAGCCTAAGGGATATCCCATGCTGCTGAAGCAAGCCAAAGAACGTATGAAGACTGAGAACCTAAGGGATATCACATGGTGCTGAAGTAATCCAAAGAACGTGTGAAGAGTGAAGGCCTAAGGGATATCCCATGGTGCTGAAGTAATCCAAAGAACGTGTGAAGAGTGAAGGCCTAAGGGGTACCCCATGGTGCTGAAGTAATCCAAAGAACGTGTGATGAATGAGAGCCTAAGGGGTATCCCATGGTGCTGAATACAAAAGGAACGTGTGAAGAGTGAGAGCCTAAAGGGGTATCCCATGGTTCTGAAGTAATCAAAAAGAATGTATGAAGAGTGAGAGCCTAAGGGGTATACAATGGGAGATGTGCTGTCGCTAAACACTTCTGTTGGGCCCGATCATGTGTTTTTGGCCCCGATAGACTTTAATAGGAGCACCGGAAAAACTCATGTAACATACACCTTACGACTTGTCTCCTCCTTCTAGTAACTAGCTTTCCATTGGCTAAAACTAAGTGTTCAAGAAACGCATGGACAAACACGTACAAAAAATAAATAAACAAAAAGGCCCAAAGATGGCGATTGTCCAATGTGAATGCAGACTCGCACTGATACAATAATAAAAGAAGAATTCCATCAAACAAAAAGCAGAAGATTACAAGTAATTCTCTTCTCGACCACATCGCGGTTTGGCAGCTAGTAACTGTAGAAGGGGAAGACGGCAATGGCGGCCTTCATATTCTCTTAGTACAGGTTTCCTTTAATACATAACCTAAAACCGTTGGATATTAAATCACAGAGACCTAGCTAATGTAACTTCGCTTGCATGATACTTTACTAGAACATGACTAATGTAACAATGGCTGTATTATAATTTACTAAAAACTGACTAAAGTAACAATGGCTGTAGTAACAATTACAAAGACCTGGTTAACCCACCATTGGCTGTATTATAAATGACAAAGGTCTGGTTAATGTAACATTGACTATACTATATATCACTGAGATTTGGTTAATGTAACATTGGCTGTATTATACATCACTGAGATCTGGTTAATGTAACATTGACTATATTATATATCACTGAGATTTGGTTAATGTAAAATTGGCTGGATTATAAATCACAGAGACCTAGCTAATGTAACTATGGTTGTAGGATACTTTACTAAAACCCATCTAATGTAACAATAGGTGTATTTTAATTTACTAAAAACTGGCTTAATAACTGGCTAAAGTAACATTGGCTGTAGTACAAATTACAAAGACCTAGTTAACCCACAATTGGCTGTATTATAAATGACAAAGATCTGGCAAACTTAGCATTGGCTATATTATAAAATACTTGTTAAGTATAAGATCTTAAGTTATAAGATCTTGTTAATGCAACATTGGCTGTATTATAAATTATGGAGACGTAGCTAATGTATCATTCGCTGTATGATAAATTACGAACAACTAGCTAAAACCAATGGCCACTACTCTGTTCTCATACTTTTAGACCTTTCTGCTGCCTTTGACACAGTTTCCCACCCGCTTCTCCTTAATAAAACTTAATTCCTTTGGCCTCCAAGACGCTGCTTTCTCATGGTCTCCACTATTTTGTAAAGCGCTGAGAAAATTGTTGGCGCTATATAAATTCTGTATAATAATAATAATAATAATAATAATAATGTAACAAAGGCTGTATTGTAAAATTACTGAGACCTGGATTCCCTATTGAAGAATGGGAAATCCAGATACAGGGGTGGATGGCATTGATTGACACTTGATTGGCAAACGCTCGGAGGAATTTGAACTGCGAATGTGTTTTTTTCCCAGCAGTTCTGCTTTATCAATATGACCCGAGCGTCATGTGATACACATAAATGAACCTGCCCAGCAGCAAAACACCCCAGACACAGCTCTGAAATCCCTCCTGGAAATGAAGAGCAATGTAATAAAAATTCTATTGTTGTATTATCATAGTAGGCGGCCCCGGCTCCTGGGCACTCAGCCCCCGTGTTTCCAGTTCCCTGCCTCTATAATGTTATTTCACTTTCCAAAAACTTCCTGTCTTGGCAGTCATTAGGCCATTCTATTGCTGTTATTACTTAATCAATGGAAGCCGAGATGAAAAACAACCAAGCAGTGAATAGAAGTGACTCAGGTTTCCTGTGTGTGTGCAGGAAGAAGGAACACCTTTGAACTTTGCTCTATGTAGGAGACATACAGACAGAGGGTCAGATTCACAGACAGGTGATAAGCTGGTGATTAAGCTCTGTATTGGCTTCCAGCACCGACTCCATTCACAGCAGGGAGAGAACTCTGCCAAGTTTCAAACTCTAAACAATCTCAGGACTTTCAAGTGGACAATAAAGCCAAACTCCTTTTTTTAATGCACAGCTGCTTTGTCCAGTGGACAAGGGACCACTACTCTCTCTTATGGAGTCACTCCCTTGCTGGCTGGACCATCTCCATCGCTGCATGACAGATTCTGCAGCATTCCAGGTTAGCGAGGGAGGGAATGACATCTACACTATGTTGCCAAAAGTATTGGATGCTGGCCTTTACACGCACATGAACTTTAAGGGGATCCCAGTCTTGGTCTGTAGGGTTCAATATTGAGTTGGCTCCACCCTTTGCCGCTATAACAGCTTCAACTCTTCTGTGAAGGCCGTCCACAAGGTTTAGGAGTGTGTCTATGGGAATGTTGGACCATTGGTGAGGTCAGGTACTGATGCTGGATGAGAAGGTCGGGCTCGCAGTCTCCACTCTAATTCATCCCAAAGGTGTTCTATCGGGTTGAGGTCAGGACTCTGTGCAGGCCAGTCAAGTTCCTCCACCCCAAACTCGCTCATCCATGTCTTTATGGACCTTGCTTTGTGCACAGTCATGTTGGAACAGGAAGGGGCCATCCCCAAACTGTTCCCACAAAGTTGGGAGCAAGAAATTGTCCAAAATGTCTTGGTATGCTGATGCCTTAAGAGTTCCCTTCACTAGAACTAAGGGGCCAAGCCCAACCCGTGAAAAAATACCTCACACCATAATCCCCCCTCCACCAAACTTTACACTTGGCACAATGCAGTCAGGCAAGTGCCGTTCTCCTGGCA